CTTGATAAACCGGGAATGCTCAAAATCATAATCATATGATGTACAATAAAACTCTTAAAAAAGAAAAACATCATTAAAACAAGTCATGTTAAGTCCTTATACACACTAAGTTATAACATGATGAAATACAATGAAAACTCTTAACAAAAGAAAAATCATCTGAATAAAATTAAAACAAGTCATATGAAATATGACTTGTTAACATGTTAAGTCCTTATACTTTGTGTGTAGAATATGAACATGCCTTGGAAAAAAAACCTTTTACAGTTATAACAGTTCCACACACGAAATCCCAAATTTTTGACAATGAAATGTTTGATCTCTTCCTAATACACTACAGTACAGGGTACAGGGTAATTCTGGTACAAAAATCTTTTAAGTCTGAATAAAATCTGGTTGAGTATTAATCTTTCTCATAGAAACATTTCCAATAAATTAATATTGAACTTAATTGGAGAATAATGAATGGAAAGTTGTCTCTTTCTATAATTAACCTTCGAAATGTGGAGTTTCTTTGTGTGTAGAATATGAACGGGATACGTGGGAAAAAAAACCTTTTATTCTATTTATCTCTATATTCTTTTAGGTTTTGATTGATTTCTCCACACACAATCAGCATCAGCACGCAAATTTTTTTTTAAAAAAAAATATACACATACCGAATAAGAAAATTCTGATTTTCGAAGTAGGTCATCACTTGTATTTTCGTCTGAAACTCCGTCAAATAAATCCTGCAGTCTTTCAAGGTCTAAACTTACGGACATTTTATATTGAAAATCCCTCGTCAAGGGAACTGCTTCAACATTTTCTCGGAAGTTTACATCAATATTGGGAATGCTTGCTGGGGTTTGTGTCATAATTACATTGAAATTTTAATAAATATTTCGATTATTGAAATGAAAAAAAAAATGCAAAATGGGAAAAATAAAACACTTAAATTCTTATAAATATACCTGTAAAATAATATTTTACAGGTATATTTATAAGAATTAATAGGAAAAAAATCAACAACCTATCATCTAGAGTTTATTGAATGGGTTTCAAAAAACAATAGACTGCAAACCATCCAGTTATATATATGTATACATATATTGGCATTGATGTTCTGAAAAAAGGATATGTAATGAAATCAAATATAAATGACATGTATATGTTCTGGTGGAAAAAAATAAAAATTTTCCTCTTTATTGCAATTTTATAACAATGCAATATGGACCCCCCCCCCCTTCACACAAGAAAATTATCACTTTCAGAATCCGACGATATTATATTCTGCCATTTAGCCTTTTTAGGTAGGCATACTTGTTTCAATTGTAAATGGTGATTTCCTTGGGGATTACAAAATTTCAATTATTTCATCAACATCATCTTCCTTCTCTAACCTTCTCTTTTTAACCTTTCTGAAATATTGTTTTTGGGTGGCGCAAAAAAGCTTTGGAATTTCAAGTCGTATGTGGGTACATCCCACTAATTATTTTTAGAATCGGTAGGAGAAGAAAGTAGTGCAGAAAAAATTACAAGTTCCTTAAATTACAGACTTGCATAAAAAAAATTGGGCAGGTGTACTGAACTGAGCCTCACCTTGTTGATTACGCCAAAAAAGCTTTGAAAATGTAATTTATCAAGAAGATCAGCCGAATTATTTTGTGTATTATAACGCCAGTGAGAATTCTGAAATTTCCCTACTTTCACTTTCATTTTTAAGGAAACATTTTGGCGTGACATGCCAGAGATTTTAACCAAGGAAAGACAATGATGTGCTTTTGTCATACAGAAAATAATTTGAAAAAAGTCTTTCGCCTCACTACTATTACTTTTAGGTCATGTTGAAGCTGAGTCAGTTTCAGGATTTTCAATAATTGCAAGTGTAATGCGCCTTCCTGGCTGCAGTATCCGTAAGTTTAGTCGAAAGACTGGCTACGAATATGTTCGTTTCGTCAATCGGTCGTAAACATGTGAACATTTTGGCTTCTTCTGTGCTTCTTCTCTGCAACTACTCAACCAATCTCCACCAAATTTGGCATAAAGCATCTATTGGTGAATAGGAACAAAAATTGTGAATTTCATGGTCCCTGCCCTCCTGGGGCCTGAGGGATGGGACCAAAACCACTAAAATTAATGTAATCTTTGAAATGCTTCCTCTTTAAACCTGGACATCAAGCAGTCAAACTGTAAGCATGAATGTAATGACCATTGAGTCCTCCACCACAATTGTGAAATTAATGGCCCCAGGGTCAGGGGTTCTAGTGCCAGGGCGGGGCTCTATTGATTCTATAGTGAAAATGAAATATACTAAGTACATTGTATATAGTTATGATGAGGAAGAATACCTATTCCAAAATTGTGAATTTTATGGCTCCAGGGTCAGGGGTTCTGGTGTAAAGGCGGGGCTCTATTGATTATATATAATGAAAATACATTAATTCTTTGAAAATCTTCTTCTCTACTCCGGGGTATTAAATAAACTAACTAAGTATACAGTTATGATGTGGAAGAATGCCTTTTCCAAAATTTTATGGGTCAAGGGTTCTGGTGTTGAGTGGGACTTTATTGATTATATGGTGAAAAAATAATAGTTTGAAAATCTTCTCATATCCTCCTGGGTATTAAACAAACTATATATTCAGGAAGAAGAAGAATGCCTCTTCCAAAATTGTGAATTATAATGACCCCAGTTTCAGGGGTTCTGGTGTAAGGGCGGGGCTCTATTGACTATATAGTGATAATATATTAATTTTCTGAAAAGCTCCTGGGTATTAAATAAACCAAGTAAGTACATATTAAGTGCTTAATTATAAAATTTTATAATTCTTCTGGCTGCACTCCATTTCAATGAGAATGCAATGCGAGAACATGCGACAACAAAAGAGAAAAAAAACGATTTGACATCATTTTTCCCAAATATTAGAAGGGAAGTGTACTTACGGTTTGTACCATATTTGTCTTTTCAACACATTTTTTTTTTCAATTACGACTCCCAATTATTGATCAGAAAAAATATCTTATTTTGTTCACAGAGTATATTGATCGTCTTATGAACTTGGTGGCTACCTTAGCAGAGGAGTATGCGATGAATTCTACTACAGTGATTAATGATCAGCCAGTCCCCCCTCCACTCTGCAGTTCATTTGAAAGACCTGAGAAAGCTCAAGCCATACAAGAACCAGAAGTCTCTGTCGAGACTGTAGCTCTACTGGTTTGTACTGATCAAAAACCATTGCGCTGTTTTATGTATTTTGTGTAGTCTACTTGTGTGCCAAGTTATATTGAAATCAGACAAAAACACTAGAAGGAGTAGCGTTTCAAAGGAATTTCACAGAGAATTCTATTTTTAGTAACCATGGTAACACCGTTCATCGAAATTAACAAGAGGCCCATGGGCCACATCGCTCACCTGAGCACTGTGGCTGGGAAAAAGTAGAAATTGGTTTTATTATTGAAAAGTTTAAATCCAAAAGTAGTCCCATGACCAATCATGGCTTTGCTATTCTTGAGAAGATGATTTTTAAAGAATTTTCTCATATATTTCTATGTAAAACTTTGGTCGGCCATTTTGGCCCCGCCCTACCCCCGGGGGTCATGAATTGAACAAACTTGAATCTACACTACCTGAGGATGCTTCCATATATATATGATCATTTATGGCTTTGTTATTCTTGAGAAGAAGATTTTTAAAGAATTTTCCTGTATATTACTATGTAAAACTTTGATCGTCCATTTTAGGCCCGCCCTACCCCCGGGGGTCATGATTTGAACAAACTTGAATCTCCACTACCTGAGGATGCTTCCATATAAATATGAACAATTATGGCTTTATTATTCTTGAGAAGAAAATTTTTAAAGAATTTTTCTATTGATCAGTCATTGTGGCCCTACCCTACCCCGGGGGTCATGATTTGAACAAACTTGAATCTACACTACCTGAGGATGCTTCCATATAAATATGAACAATTATAGCTTTGCTATTCTTGAGAAGAAGATTTTTAAAGAATTTTCCTATATATTTCTATGTAAAACTTTGGTCGGCCATTTTGGCCCCGCCCAACCCCCGGGGGTCATGATTTGAACAAACTTGAATCTACACTACCTGAGGATGTTTCCACATAAGTTTCATCTTTCCTGGCACAGTGGTTCTTGAGAAGAAGATTTTTAAAAAATACCACCAAATTGTCATTAATTCCCAATTATCTCCCCTTGAATGAAGGCGTGGCCCTTCATTTGAACAAACTTGAATCCCCTTTACCCAAGGATGCTTTGTGGCAAGTTTGGTTGAAATTGGCCCAGCGGTTCTTGAGAAGACGTCGAAAATGTGAAAAGTTTACAGACGGACAGACAGACAGACGGACGACGGACAAAATGTGATCAGAAAAGCTCACTTGAGCTTTCAGCTCAGGTGAGCTAAAAACCGATGCACTATTCTATGTATCTTAGTGTAGTCTACTTGTGTGCCAAGTTATATTGAAATCAGACCAAAACTGTAGAAGGAGTAGCGTTTTAAAGGAATTTCACAGAGAATTCTATTTTTAGTAACCATGGCAACACCGTTCATCAAAATCAAAAACTGATGCACTATTCTATGTATCTTAGTGTAGTCTAATTGTGTGCCAAGTTATATTGAAATCAGACTAAAATTGTAGGAGGAGTAGCGTTTTGAAAAATTGTTTACAGACAGACGGACAGACAGACAGACGGACGGACGCCGGACGCATTACTATCGCATAAGCTCTTCTGGTCTCTGACCAGTAGAGCTAAAAACTCTCAAGATATACAAACAGAGCACATAAAAATGAATGCTTGTCTTCTGAATGTACTTAAAATGTTTTAGGTTGTTAATATTGTCAATTGGATTTATATTTTCAAGAATGATGAATCAAGACAAGTAAATGTTGTAAATATTGTTTTAATTAGCCTGTTTAAATCCTTTATAATGTCCGGATTCACTTGGAAAGGTGTTTCTGATACGATTCATTGCACATGATGGTAATGGCACCTTTTAAGATATTCCCATCTAGCAAGTTGGAGATATGCCGTGTATCTGTACTTCCTAAAACACATGTCCAATTTAATGATGAAAATAACAATAAAATACAACAATAAAAAAGATGTGTTTGTGAAACACTGATGCCCCGTATGGCAACATAGAGAAGAAAGAAAACTTAACTTATTTAATGCAAAGAATACAGTACATGTATATATACAGTATTCTCACTGGAAACACAATTGTGAAATATGAAAGTAGGACAAGGTTGAATCTTTTTCATGAATGCGGAACTTGAAGGTCAAGTTCAAAAGGTCAAGGTAATTGGTATCCAAGAAAGGTCTTGCCTCAAAGAATATCTATGTGGAGTATAGAAGCCCTAGCCATACCGTTCAAAAGTTATGGCCAAGGTTAAAAAATTTTAAAAGGTCGAATTCCGTGGTCAAGGTCAAAATGCCAAAGTTGTTTGTATCCAATGAAAGGTCTCTCCACAGAGAATTACATATATGAAGTATATAAGTCCTAGCCTGGTATTATCTGTTATAAAGATTTGGCCAAACTAAAAGTTTGGAATTTTTGTGTAATTATGAAAGCCATAGCTCCACTAATTCAAAAGTTAGGAACAAGATTTAGTTTTTGAGGACAAATAGACAGACAAAAGATATGGACATAAATTTATTAAAATGTGCAATACAATAAATTTAATATTAAACATACTCAGAAAAGTCTTCAATGTCTTCCCTGTACTGCTGCTTATACTGGTAGTATGCTATCTGTAGAACGTATGTATTTAAACATGCTGGTTGAAAACCAGGATGGAGTGTTAAACAGTGGACCTCTGAATTTAAGTCTGCGAATAGGTGGTGTATTTTCTCAAATTCGTGACAACATAGTGATTCTGCTTCGGTTGGCATTGGTATGCAATTCCCACAAGTGCACCTATTACAAAATGATATGAAGTGTCTAGGTTAATTTGTAAGTTTGTGTCTGTATTACAGACTGTGAGTATAAATACAGAATGATTAGTTTCAATTAAAAAAAAATATACATGCTTTTAATTAATCAAGTTGATGTTAAAGAAATTACCAATCAAGGTTTTGTAAGCGGTTGTCTATATTTTCATGATCATCCGAGTCAACAGTGAAGTGTTATATAGCCTATGCAAGATTACACCAACTACGACCGAGTAATTTTCATATATGTTTAATCTGGAACACATATAACACTTACAAATATACCCAAGCTGAAAAATATTCTCTCTCAGTCTCCGCTATACTTCTCAACCATGTGTTTCCTCTCCGACGAAAAGACAACTCTCTCACGCATGCGCACTAGCTAGCGGTTCCATATACATTCGTTCCCTTACACATTCACACCACACTACACTAGAATCTGATTCATTTGACCCACTTTCGTACGGCTCAAATCGGAATGGCTTAATAAAATTGCGGTCGTAGACTTTGTCAGTAACACTTTCCTCAAAACTAGATGATCTGCAGGACAAACCCAGCGTTCGCTCATCTTCATATAATATACATAGGGAAACCCAACACACACTTGTGACGTCACGGATATTGTAACCATCTAAACCGGAAGTAGCACTCGCCTTGATTATCGATCGCTTGGGCAGGTGTGAATGTGAATATCTCGGGATCTACAGCATCATTTTACACGAGGTTTTCGATTTCATGATCCTAGCATTTATTTCTTCGTTACAATTGCTTACATAATTTCTCCGTGGCCTATCTTTAATGGTGTTGGAGACATGTATGTCTGGAAAATCATCAGACGAGCTCATAGCGTCCCTTCAAGTAGGCACATCTGTCGCTACACATGGATAGTCACACAAATGAATACTGTCACTGCTAACAGGCGCGGTTGCGGCTACAAGAGAATCACACAAAGGAGATTCACTACTAAAATATGAGCTCATAAGGTCACTGAAAGTAGGCACATCTGTCGCTATACACGAATAGTCACACAAATGAATACTCTCACTACTCACAGGCGCGGTTGCGGCTTCAAGAAGCTCCCACAACGGAGATTCACCACTATATTATAATGCAGTATTTAATTTAGCACACCTTTGCTCATAGAGTCTCTCCATGGTGTAGGTAAAGGGCTACGATGTCGAGATCCTAGTGTCTTCCCGAGGGAGCGCCCTGTTGGATCTCTCCTCGGGACTCTGGGGTTTTCAGGCTTCGCAAACGTGCAGGAAAAAGTATTATGGCAAAACTGGGAACATTACAGTGTATGGACACTGTGAGGTGGGGTTGGATACACAATCGGCCTTCAGAGCACAGGCGCGTTGCACGTGACCAATTCCAGCACGTATGAAACAAGACTTGGAGTGCACTGGCTGGGGCACCGATGCGGTACGCTGAGGCAGGTATTGTTCATTAGAATCTGGAGCTGCCAGCTGGTGGACTGCAGTTGATAGTCGTGATAACTCCTGCACAACAAAGTTCATATCAGGAGAATGAGATGGAGGCTTTGTGTTCATGGCTGCTGTAGTAGGTTGAGACAAGCGGTAGCCAAAAGCTTCCCCTGTTTTGGCAGCTGTAAGAGTACCAACAAAAGTAGAACATCGTCCAGCACGGACATAAAAAGCAAGCTGCGGCTTTGAACCCTCAGCAAATTTGTTCATCAAGTCTCATTCGGGTTTTCCAAGGTTGCGTCCTTTCTCCATTATAACACTATCTTAGTCCTCTAGAGGCTGTGCAGGAGACAAACGAAGAGAATGAAATATATGGCAGACTCCATAATAAGTGTCGGATCCAACGGTGATTTGCTGGTGTAGGTTCTATGGAACTCGCTCTCAATGGCACGCCACGATTTTCTAATGAAATCTGGAATGACCGAGCCACACCAGCGCCGGGCCCTGAAGTTGCAAATGAAAAGGTGCTATTTTTAGAGGTTCATTACCATCCAGGTCGTGGAATACACAATATGACACAAATTCATCCAGGAATTTCTCTGCATCCTCATGGGAATAACCACTAAATTTTTTGAAGTGACATTCTGTACATTGGTGTTGTCATGACTGTACGGGTGACCGGAGTAGATGCTGTCAATGGTCTATGGATCGTCCAAGGCGGACTTTCATCCCCTATGCATTTGTCTGACGGTTCTTTGTCGCGCCATTGGTCGTTTTCGCGTAATCATGTAAATCCTAAGTGCATAGACATTGGTGAAAAATTCCAACAAAATGAAAGAACATAGCCTAAGCCAACATATATAAGCTCACTTGACATTCCTTAAAGCTATTATATATATAAGCCATTGCTGGTATTTCAGGGGTAGACATTAACTTTTATTTCCACTTGTCCTTCGGGCAAGTGAACTACAACTTTGACTTGTCCAAATGCAAAATTTAGTTGCCCAAAATTTTTGAAGAAAAAAAAAACAGTTATTGTACCTGCATGAATTTGTTGTAAATATAAAAGTTGACAAATTAATCTCAATTTTGATGTTAACTGCCGGAAAAATGTTGAAATGTTGGTGATGCTACATTTGTAAATGTACAATGTATGTAAAACACTTTCCTGTCATTTAACTATCTTGAAAACACACAGAGTACTGCAGGAATATCATTTTCTAGGCCTAGTGATTTTTGCTTGAAATTTTAATTTTTCCTCTATAAAATTGAGATGCAGCCAGAAGGAAGAGAGTTGTTATGTTTTGAATCAAGATACATCGTGCATCGTAAATAACTGGTGTTCTTCATATAATTCCTTAATTGGGTAGAGAAAGTATTCTGTAATCTCTATTTCATAATAAGACTGTAACGTAAGTTGTCAGACAGATAATCGTATTTTTTAAACAACGAAGGAAAACAGAATAACAAACCCGATTTCTTATCCAGAAACGCTACCAAGGGATTTTGAATGCAATAACAATTCCCCGTTTTTGGCAGAAATCAAGTATTTAATTCATTGTGTTGTTTATAAACTTATGTGAGATTAAAAAAATGTTTCTATCAGAAATATCCACTTGCCCGATCGGACAAGTACATTGATAGTTTCACTTGCCCGAACTGAGAATTTACTTGTCCCGGGCAATCGGACAACCGTTAATGTCAATCCCTGTATTTGCATTCCTCAAACTTGGCAAGCCAAGTACCATATAAGCACGTTTAGCTGAAGAGGTCAACAGCGATATATGTCATATAATTCAACATGTAATTCCAATAGCATCTCATTAATATACAGTGAAGTAGCTTACATTATTAAAGCATGGCATTCTGTGATTCAATTGCGTCTGGTATAACAGTTACTTTAAGCATGGATCTTGTCTGAATTCCTCCACATAGCCCAGTAAGCTTTCTTTTTGTTGTCCGATAGCCATAAGCTGGGGATAACATTAACTTCGAGACCATCAATAAACTCCATAACAGCATTTAGAGACCTATCATAAAATGAATTTACTTTCAATATATTGATGATACATAAACATATGTAGTTAATGCATTATTTTCAAAAGTATTTTCAGTTTTATTTCTTTCCATATTGTTACACTGTTATTAAACGTTGCTAATCTGCAATTAATTATGTTGCCTATTTACCAAATATTGCTAGTAAACGGGATTGCTTAAAATTTTCTGTTCTGTGGAAACAATACAATTTTGACTGAATTTTTGTCAGTTTCGCAACACAGATGTGAACTTCCAAATCATACACTATCTGAATTCTAAATAAATTAGATGACACAGGGGTGTCAGAAAAGTCTTCTGTTTTTCTAAATGCACAATACACTGTAAAAACATAAGCATCTTTTACATGTAATACTATATTCTTTATTTTAACTATTTTTCCATTTACACAAACACGACTATCTTTAGCATTAAATTTTATGCTGTAATTGCTAGTTTTCAGTGTTCTGCACTGAATGCCATTTTCAAGAATATCTGGCACATGCTCTTTTCTGAGAATTGGGTATCCCTGTTAATGATGGTTTACAAACAATGTGTTTTAACTTTCCTAGAGCAACTTCAAATGGGAAAGATGACACATTATCAAGACTCCCATACTTTGCAGCTTCATTTGACAAATGAACCACACCATGAACATTATAAACCAACATGTCATTACCGTACATCTTTGACCTACTCCAAGGTCAAAAGGTCAATTTGGTGGTACCCAAAGAAAGGTTTTGTCACAAGGAAAACACCTGTGAAATATGAAAGTCATACCTTCACTACATCAAAAGTTATGGGCAAGGTTAAAGTTTTTGAGACAAACAGACAGACAGACGGACACAACAAAAACTATATACCCCCGAAACTTCGTTTACGGGGGCATAAAAATCAATATATCTAATGATAACTTTATAAAGTGCAATGGTTTTGTTATAATATATAGTGGTAAAATTGCCAATTTAGGGTTAGTATCTGGACCTTTATTATCATCATCATCTTCTAATGATAGCCCAATCTCTTTCAACCACTGATCTTCACCACCATCATCCTTTTTTTACTGCTTCTTTTGTGGTGTGTTTATCTCTCAACCCCTTAATAAGGCTTTTAACATCCTCCTAATCGTCAAAAAGACACTGTCACTCACAACTGAGTCCATTTCAGTCGCAAAATCATCTACCTTGCGTTTAACTGCTAACGAAGTTTATAGGGGTGAGGGTATATTGGAATAAGCTTGTCTGTCTGTATGTAGACGAGCTTTTGTCCGGACCGTTTTTTGGAAACTCTAAAGGATTTGTCTTAAATTTGTACACTTATTATTTACCATATGAAGGAGTACAGTTGGTATTTTTATCACAATTGAATGATTTTTCTGTTTTACAGGTGTTTTTCAATTTCTATTGCGATTTAGTCGGGACTGTTTCTCTTAAACTTTTGTAAGGAGTTGTCTGAAAATTTGTGCATATAATATTCACCATATGAAGGTGTGTACCTGATATTTCAAAATTTATCTGTTAATTTTTTTCTGCATTATACATGTTTTTAGCTCTACTGGTCAGAGACCAGAAGAGCTTATGCGATAGTAAGGTGTCCGTCGTCCGTCCGTCTGTCTGTCTGTCTGCCTGTCCGTCTGTCTGTAAACAATTTTTCAAAACGCTACTCCTCCTACAGTTTTGATCTGATTTCAATATAACTTGGCACACAAGTAGACTACACTAAGATACATA